CCTCTTTTCTCCTCTTTCGTGTCCAAGAGTGTACGTCTGGTTGGGGTCAGCGCCTCACGTATTTTTCTACGGCGATGTAGCAGGCTATTCCCCCTGTCGCTCGTTTTTCCCGTCACCCAGTCCCCACTCTCAATGCACTAACGTACCCTTCCCCAGGTGCCACTGTTCTGCCACCCATTTTGTCGCACGATGTTCCCGTGATGAGCTAGCACGCCCCTCCCCCTCCCCTGGCGCTCGTTTCTCCCGTCACCCCGCCCCTGTCCCGCGTCTCAGGTCCCCCCTGCCCCAGGTGCCGCTGTTCGTCATCGTCACCAAGATCGACCTGACGTCGGCGGCCACGTTGCGGCACACGCTGCAGGCGCTGGAGGCGCTGGTGCGCGCGCCCGGCTGCGGCAAGGAGCCGCTGCGCGTGGTGGACGAGGCGAGCGCGGCGGCCGCCGCCCAGGCCGACGCCGCCACGGTGCCCGTGTTCAGCGTCAGCTCGGTCAGCGGTGCCGGCCTGCCGCTGCTCAAGAAGTACCTGCACGCGCTCAGCCCCAGCCCCGGCGCCAGCGAACGGCGCCGGCTAGAGCAGGTCCGTCCTGGCACCAGCGGGGGACAGGTGGTGTAGCTCGGCCGTCCTGGCACCAGCGGGGGCGGGTGATGTAACTCGGCCGTCCTGGCGGTAGCGGGGGACAGGTGGCGTAGCTCGGCCGTCCTGACGGTAGCGGGGGACAGGTGGCGTAGCTCGGCCGTCCTGGCGCCAGCGGGGGCCGGTGATGTAGCTCGGCCGTCCTGGCGGCAGCGGGGGGGCCGGTGGCGTAGCTCGGACCGTCCTGGCGCCAGCGGGGGCCGGTGATGTAGCTCGGCCGTCCTGGCGGCAGCGGGGGGCCGGTGGCGTAGCTCGGCCGTCCTGGCGGCAGCAGCTGGCTGGTGACGTAGCTCGGCCGTTCTGGCGGCAGCGGGGGGGGGGGGGCTGGTAGACTAGCCCGGCCGTCCTGGCGGCAGCGGAGAGCCGGTGACTTAGCTCGGCCGTCCTGGCGGCCGAGCTGCGGCCGCGACCGGTGCGTGACGCCTTGCTCGGCGCCCGCTCCCGCTCTGGGACCTATCCGGGTCAGGGTCGTGCCCGCTCTCGTGCGGTCGGCGTGCGTGCCGCCGGCCGGCCGGGCGGTACGACCCCGCTCCTTCCCAGGCTGCCGTGTACAGCGGCGGTCGGGCTAGGCAGGGGCGGCGGCGGTGGGGCCGGACCGAGGGCTGGGACAGCGGCGGTGGGGCCAGGCAGAGGGCCAGGCCGGGGCAGCGGCGAGGTCGCGCCATGCACCGCCGGCCGACGCCCGGATGAAGCAGTTTGCCGAAACAGCCTTCCGGTTAACGGTTTGCAGAAGACGACAGTTTTCGAAACAGTTGTTATGGTCTGCAGGACGAAATGACGTTATGATCCCAGCACGAGCTTCTCAGGGACAACCGATGCAGAAAAGCGGCGCAATCGCTGTTTGCGCTGCGAACCTTTATGTCACTTCGCCGTGACGGGATGGTGGGAATGCTGCACCGAAGTGCTTTGTGATTTACCTCGTTCCCGTAGTGCGCATTTCGAAACCACGGCTTTGCAGAAATACTTCAGCGTACAAATACCACAACCACTCAGCGCACATAGATAGCTGCGTTTTCCAACATGTTTATTTACAAAACGTTGTTTTGTTTCATTTGTCAAGAAATGAAGTCCGGTGGTTTTGCGTTCAGATATCACACCCGGAACTATATCGCCTGCCTTTGTTCGTCGACGGCCGCATTACTCAGTGCGGGAGCGCTTCTGAGCTCGGATTCCCATGTGATAGCATGTCTCAGATAAGATTAGCCCGCTGTCGTGCGCGGTGCGTCACGCCCTTCGCTAACTGGCCGTCTCGTTTTCAGCAACTATGCGAGTTCCAGATTGACGAGACCTATCGGATATCAGAAACAGGCGTAGTTGTAGGCGGGCTTCTAACCAAAGGCATCATCACAGAAGGAGCGCGGCTCAGTCTAGGTCAGTGGTGTGGGTGGTGCTACAGCTGCGCCTCGTCGTTTTTGTTGATGCGTGCTCAGAGGAACGCATGAGTGTCGACGTAGAGACCGCGCGGAGCTACATTCGCAGTTTTGGCTTGGGATAACTTCTGCGGTGTCCTAGAATGTCCACTCTGTGTTACGAGCCCTTTTTTGACGCCATCTTGCTCTTCTTTTTTAGCATATTTTTTGAGCGTTCACAGCCCATTGTGCATTAGGCACCGCTGGTCGCATGCCGTGGCGTTTCACTGTCACTCGAGCCCGTGCTCGAGGTTAAATAGCGACTGTCACCTGTCACGCGTACAGACAGACGCCGTAACCGCCCTGTTACACACGCCGCCGTGGTCGCGGCGTGTGTTGCGGCGTCTTCCCCCCGTGCCTGCCGCACCACGGTGGCCCGGCCCTTGTCAGAGGCGTCGGTGCCTCCTGGCGTGACCGCGTCGCCGCCGCCGCCGCCGCCAGGTCCGCTGGAGGACGGCAGCTTCACGACCGTACGCGTCGCCTCGATCCACCGGAACCGGCGGCCCTGTCGCGTGGTGCGCGCCGGCCAGGCGGCCGCTCTCGCCATCGACCGCGACGTGGCCGGCCTGCGCCGCGGCATGGTGCTGCTGGCGCCGCAGAGTCGGCCCACGGCCTGCCTCTACTTCCAGGTAGGCGACCGACCTCCCCCTGCTGCCGTCCGTGGCTGCCAGCCCGACGACGTCCGGGGCCCATGTCCGTCCGCTGCCGCTGTAGCTGCAGTGGCAGCTGTAGCGGACGGCTGCAGAGCATCTTAACATATCATGTCATCATCGGGTTTTTTTCCAGCGGGTCGTTTGGTAGCATTTGCCATCGGTGTAGTCGGCTTATGGGAGTGCCGACTTTGTGGAGCGAAATGCAATTTAGATCGGGGCGATGAGTCTGGGAGCGCGGACCTGCTCTGGTCCGATGAATAGAGACAGCCCGGCGGCGCAGCGCGACTCGACACACGCTAGTCGCGGCATGCCCGACTCCCGGCCCGTAGGGCTCGCTTGTTCATCTGTGGTGCACCACCAGGTCGCGGGCTGCACGTATGCTCGTCACGTTCCTGGGGCTTCACTGCTATGCAGCCCCGTATGCTGCCTCGCCTTCGTAGAAACGCCCTGCTTCACATCGAGCTCGGTAGTGTGCTGCGGCAGGGACGTGGACAAAGGTTGTTGATATCCCAGCGTAAACACGCGATGCAGTCCAGCGCTGAGGCGCGGACGATGTCCCCTCCCCCTCCCCCCTGACCCCCGGCGCCGTCTGACCCCGGCTCTGCCCGCAGGCGACGGTGTGCGCGCTGTTCGGCTCGCAGGCCATCCACCGCCGCTTCCAGGCGACGGTGCACATGGGCAGTGTGCGGCAGACGGCCGTGATCGAGGGCGTGTGCGCGCCCGGCGGCTTACTGCGGCCCGACCAGGAGGCGTCCGTGCTGTTCCGCTTCTACCGGCAGCCGGAGTACGTCAGCGTCGGCGACCGGCTGCTGTTCCGGCAGGGCCGCACGCGCGGCTACGGCATCGGCACTGTGACGCAGGTGTTCCCCTGCCGGCCGGAGCTGGAGGAGCGCTAGAGCGGCGCGACGCGACGCGACGCGACGCGACGCGACGCACTCCGGCTGCGGCCACACCCCTTTTACCCGACTTTACACGCCCGCGGCCAAACCAGAGAAATTAGCGCCGCGTTTTACTTCGCCCTCGCCTGATCGCTTAGTTCGCTAGTCGTCGGTATGATTGACGCCTCGGCCTTCGAGGCGCGAGCCGCAGTCTTTCACGTAGACCCCGCGCGGTGTGCAGGGCTGGTCCCGTTCGTTGCCGGTCCGCAGGCGTCCCCACCGCCGCCGCTGCCCCTCCCCTCCCCCCGGCGTGGGCCGATCGTCGCGTGCCGTCCGAATCAGAACACCCCGTACAAGGTATCGCCACAGGTTCAAGGTATTCGATCTCGGCGCGAACACTGCCGGGCGCGCCGGCTCGGGGCGTGGGGTTCGGTCGCCGCTGTGACTGCCAGCGCGGCGGGATTTTAGGCGGCGGCGTCGCGGCAAGTATTTTTGGAGTGGAGCCCGGCTGGCCTGTGTGACCGGCGGCTAGGAACGCCGCTTAATGTGCTGAGGTTTTAACACGGATATTTATGCTAGCTTGACTTGACCCGTATGTAACACGGCACAAGAAATAAAGACGATACCTCTGGCGACTCGTTTGCGCCCTGTCGCGTCAGGATTCCGACAAACCGCCCGCCGCGGCCGACCAGAGTAACGGAGCGGTGATGACGGTGCAGCTGAGCTTTTCATGCGCGCTCGAGTTCCGGCCCGCACACAGCCGCTGGCAGACGCGTGTTATCAACACACGGGCAGGCTTCCGATCGGTTCGCCAGCTGCGACCTAATAACGCACCTGTGATACCGCCAGGTGGGCGAGCTCAATGGCGCTCAAGGTGGGCTCGGGTGGTGTTCTGTCGAGCTCTCTCCTCCCAGGACTCGTTGCTGGGGTCACTTAAGGCGTCTTTAGTCATGTGGGCTACAGATGCGTCTGCGCAAAATGACTAATATATTCTTATTAAGTGATCCTGCATGCAACAAGACCGCAGTAAATCCACGCAGAACAAAACACACTGGCGTGAGAAGTGCCGTGCTTAACACGCTTCAAGGCGAAACCCCTGCCTGTGCTGAGAAGGTTCTAAAACATTCAGGACGTTACGCGACGGAGCCACTGCCCATCTTCTAAAAACCCGCATCGTGCCATGAGACCGTCAGCTAGTCTTCGCTCAACACCGATATCATTTTCGGCCACGCCAGCACGGGGCCGCCCGGCTCGCCTGGCGCGTCCGGGACCCTGGCGGGCCGGCGGCGCGATGTTCCAGCCGGCGGATCCGACGGAGGTCATCACCACGCAACAAACAGCTCGCGTCGGTCGCCCCGCCCCGCTCGTTCGAGCGCTGACCCGCGCCTCGAGCGGACGGCCGTGCCCACCCGCCCGCGGGGACGTCCCCACTCTGCTCCCCAACAGCCACCCAGCGCGCCTGCCGGGGCTGGCGGGACCGGGAGACGCCCCCTCATACTGACGCCACACCAAACAGTCGGAGAGTATCACACGCCATGGCGCTGGGGCCACGCGGTCACCTGAGGGGCATCCTGGCATCGGAGCATGACGCGCGTGGCGCGGCGCTGGAGCTGCGCGGTCACCTCTGAGCACCGCCGGCGCCGACCGCTCCCGTCAGTGTCGGTGCTCCACCCGAGGTGACGGTTCCGCCGGCCGGTGCGGTTACATCCAGCTCGTCGCCACCCCTGCGGCTCACGACGGGGCAGGGAAGAGGGACGCTCTGTCGCCGGGACACCGCTCAGACGGGCCGCAGGCCGCCAAACAGCCGGCCCGTGTTGTAGACGACCTGCAGCGGCACGTGCAGCAGCTCACACACCTCCAGGTAGTGGGGCTCTGCAACAGGAGACACGTCAGCCGTGCGGGACACGTGAAGCGCCCGCGTGCGTGGAACAAGTGCCGACCTGCTCGGGGAACGTTGGTTAGGACGGATGGTCAGTGGCGGGTCCAGAGAGGGAGGGGGGGGGGGGGGGGGAGGGCACAGGGCCATGCCTCCCCAAGCTCCGAATGGCCCCTATTCGGCCGAACAGACGCAGGTTTGCAACACGCCACGCAGAAACAGAGGCGTGTTTCGGCCTCCAGGCGTCCGGTGAGGGCCGCAAACGAAAATGAAGGGCACATGGTGGCTAAAACAGTAGTCACAATGATCGCACACGTAGCCAAGCGGGGAAGACAGGTGGCAGCGGTGACCGAGGGACCCACCGTTGTCGGGCGTGATGAAGCCATGACGCACGAGGAAGTCGAGCGTGACGGGCGCGCTGGTGGTCTTGAACTCGGCACTGCACACCAGCTCCATCAGCTCCTGCCGGACGGCGCGGGCTCCGCTCAGCGGCACGCTCCGGGTGACGCGCTCGGCTCAGGCTCTCAACACCTGGCGCATGGCCACGATCGCCATCTGCGCCGTGAATGTCAACCTATCCCTTGTTCGGAAAGCGACACATCTGGAGCAGAAGACGCTCCTGCATGAATACGGCATCCGATCAGTGAATCGATCGTAATTCGCCCATGGCCAATCGGCTAAAAGCAGCTTTCTGCGCGCGACGACCGGCAGGGTGGCAGGCACCTGTCTGCCGTTCCGCGACCCTGTCCACCCCGGGCGCCCTTATCGGCATCACCTGCGCCGTCCCCGGGCCTGGCTCCCCTGACCTGCGGCGTCACCAGGACAAACTCCTCAGCCTCGCCGTCCTGCGGCTGCGGCAACGAACTCAGCCGGCAGCTCCAGGTCGAAGCAGAAGGCGTGGCTGGCGAAGGTGGAGGTGCCTCGGCTGTGCGCGAACCTGCGGCGTAGGGCCGGGGGCGGCGCGGCTGAGACTGAAACTGAGACTGAGACTGACCTGTACGGACACCAGTCGGAACTCCTCCACCACCTCGCCGTCCTGCGGCTGCGGCACGAAGTCGGCCGGCAGCTCAGGTCGTACAAAAACTCGGGTGTTGGGGAACAGGCCGCGCTCGCCCGGTAGAACAGGCTGCGGCGCGGAGCCTCACCGTCAGACTGCCGCTGGCGCCGCGCGCACAACGGGCTAGGCCCGTGGGGGCCCCCATCCCGCCCCTAGCACGTTACAGTGGCTGGCTCTCAAGCTCCGGACCCTGTGCGGGTCTTGCAGAGTGAATTGTCAGGCTCGGATCGACGCAGCAACGTGCGGGATATATCCCAATTCAGCGTTGATGCTGAGCGGGGGGTGATGTCAAGACTGCCAATCCAAGTCCGGACGACGTAGGCTGAAGATCCCTCAAGAGTTTCGCCTCGGTGTTAGCTCATATGAAGCATCCTCCCTATTGGCACACCGACGATCCACTGTCCACGCTTGACTCACGACACGGCTCCGGGTAGAGGTCAGCCGGAAAGCAGTGATCGGGGATGCCGGCCTCCTCCCACGCCTCACTTCGCATGGCCTCGACCAGGCCCGACCAGGAGGACAGACCGCCAGACACCTGGACAGGACAGCACGCGCCGCCAGTCCCGCGCGCTCATCACAGCATGTCCGCACTCGCACTGCCGCTGCGCAGCGCCCGGCCGTATCGGCTGAGTGGGCTGCCACA